TGCTCTCTGTGCCCTTGAGCTCAGCACGGAAGTTGTGAGCTGCTGTCCGAAACCTCAAGTCAAAAGGAGACACTACTGGTTGATCTATTCCAGTAACTGCACTGCGAAAATAGTGCACATGAGCATTGATCCACATGCTTAGGAAAATGGCAAAGACCCTTCCTTGGGCCCCTGAGTCATTTCCTGAGGTGCTCTCTGTGTGGAGCTTGTATGTTGTCTGTGATCATGTTGGTCTCCACTAGGGGCTCTGGTTTCCTCCCACAGTCCAAAGACATGCTGGTACATGATACAATGTGAGTGAGCCCTGCTCTGTGCGTGTGGTGTCTGTCTAACCTGTGATGGACACCAGGGGGCGCTACATTGACAACTGGAGGACCATCTAAGTCACTGTTTACTTTGTCAGCATCCACTGAAGGACCGCGGAGGCAAATAGTGGAAACGCGTACAGATCAAATCAGAAACGGAAATGAGGTGGCGGCGAGGAGCGCCCCTGCGCGCGACCCACCTCGTTCTTTGTGTTTTCCAGCAGCAGGACGCGCAGTGTCTCGAGGCTCTGGTTGATCCGCTCGCGCCGGCGCTTCTCCAGCAGCGGCTTCGGCACCTGCACAGCGCGGCACAGAGATGGTTAGCTCCTCGGACTCACCCCCCGCGAGCCGACCCCCACCCTTGTCTGAACCTAAACGGACTCGGAAGCATTACTAGAATTTTCTAGAGCCTAACACGCGGTTTTCAGACCCCAGACCCCTGCGCAGGCACGTGAGACCCGTCGGCCTTGTGCTTAATAAACCATAAACTAATACCCAGGTGTGTCGGAGCAAGCAGATTAAATGCACAACCTTTAGGTCAGTGTCCAAAGACATGGCGTTCAGAGTCGAATCACAGAAAGTCTTTTTAAGAAACCCGCAGTACCTGCTAGCATTAGTACCGGTGTTGATATTGTTCACCTGCAGTGGAGCTCACGATCGCAGTAATCTGACAAGTATAAGAGTGACTCTGTGCGGTCCGAAGCTGTTTAGGAGCGCGAGACTAACGCGCTGCGCGTGAAGCCGAGAGGCTGCAGAGACGCTGCGCGCGAACAGTAGGTGCGTAGACTATTCAGCGCAGAACTCACGAGCTGACGAGCTGGGCTGGAATGAGCCCCCACACGGAGACGGAGGCGAATACGGAGCAAATTTAGATGGGCCCGAACGAGCATGGAACCAGTTTTTTTTAAAAAACTAAGACTAATTTCATGTCATGGCAAAACACACACAGAGAAATAAAAGGCGATTGAAATTGAACGCAAAGCAATAGATTGAAATTAGCCTACACAAAATAAATTCACATTTCTTTTTGTCCTGTTACAACAGGCCCTACAATAGGAGCTAGGATACTGCCATTTCTATGAAATACGGTAAAACTATGGACGTGCTACAGTGGAAGGCTTCAGTTATACACTATAATGATACAGAAGCACAATCTAGGTGTTTAAACGGGGTAGGGCAACAGTTTAAGTTCGTTGTACTCGTTGGAAATTATAGGTTCCTGTTACAGCGGGTATAAAGAAGTTACACGTTAAGAGGTGCAATCGAAAAAATCAAATTTCGAAACACGTATTTATTTCATTTATAACGCGCATCGCTTATTTCGGATTCGCTAAGCTTGAAGCTCGACTTCGAGCAAAGCCAACCAACCAATGTCTGCGCAAAACACGGGGAAAAAATGTGCATCAAAGCACCGCTTGGGAAAAGTTCGCTTATTAAAACGATAGTGGTTAAGAAAAAAAAAGAATTAATGTACGGATTTAATGTGTACGAGAGCGAATAAAAAAACCGATTAGAGTGCCAAGGATAAAAAATGGATTTTCCTATGTGCCGTGCTGTGGATTCTTAGATACAAATATTTGCGTTTGGGCTCTCTATGATATCTATTGCAATTCCGTCCCATTTTGGATACCGTCCCAAGAAAGTTGTAAAGAAGCCCGAGTTTCAAACGGCACTAAAACAAAACGCACATGGTAAGCGACAATAACACACAGC